AGATTTACAAAGTATCTTTAAGCTTTACCAGGCCATTGAAATGTAACTTTCTTCACTGAACTTTTTCAGTTAAGAGGATGGGTGGGAGGCATATTATCTTCTCTTTTGATTCTTACTAGGACCAAACAGGCACATTTTAAATTGCTTCCTTACCTCTTAAATCCAAATGTATGTTTTGTATCCATTACTTCTTTATCCAATTGGTTAATTTCAGGATAAGCTATCTGAATACTTTCAAATCAGTGTTCTTTTTCAAATAATGAACATTTGCAGAGCAAAAACTAGATTTATCAAGTCCGTTTTCCTTGATCCTTCTGCTTTTTGTTGAAGAGACAGAACGGAAATGAAAGGGCAAAACCAGTCTAAAAAGTTATGTGCTGATTCATGAAGCTTAAATTATCCATGACATTGCACTGAGATGTTTGTATGTATTTCAAGCTAATTTGAAAGAATGAGACATCCCTTTATCTGAGATGTTACTTTTATGTGATGTGAGTGAAATTTAGGAAAGCCAAGAAAGGATAAAAAAAATAGTTTGCCTTATTTGGTTTTCTTAGCTAATCTAATGTTCAGACACTGTGAAGTTGTATTTCTGTTTTAAAGTTTTGTTACATTCTAAAGTAAGACTATTTATGGGTATTCTAAATCTATGCATTCAACTTCATAAACTATTTACATTGCCATTTTCATAAATACTCTTAATTGTTTAGTTCTGGATTATTCGGGCATTTGAATAGTTATTAATCACTAAATCTTCTTCTATTCGCCTGAAATAGTCAGAATTGGCCTTGTATTTAAGGATAGAACAGTTAAGGAATCTAGCAACATGCCATTTGGGAAGTATTTGATGAGGATTGCTACATCTTTTTGATGAATATACCGTATTATATTATAAATCGTTTCAGGAGAGAAACCATAGTTGTTTTTTTGGTTGTTGTTTTTTTTGTCCCCCTTCTCATGTCTTCTTATATAGCCTCTAAACTATTCTTATGCCCTTGGCAGAAGGAAAGTTTCCCATGGTGTTCTTTTTGTTCTGTTCCTTGAATTATTTATTGTTCTCACTTCCTTACTTCCTATTTATTTCTTGGAAAAAAATTATTCTTTTCATTTTTCTGCTCATTAATTAATTCATTATAGAAAAAATAGACAAATGAGGAAGATATCAAATGAGCACTTGGCTTAGTTTATCTGGAGTTTATGGGCATGGGTCATGAGTAGAGATTTAAATATAACTGCATAGAGATGATATTTCAAGCTGCAAGTACCCATGACATCATCAGGCAGTACTGGCTACCTACCATGCAGATCTCCTCAATTAATTACATTATTCTGTCTTTGTCCAGTTGCACAGGCAACTGTGATTCAACCAAGTCAACATCCTGCTTTCCAGAGTAATATTTTTACTCCAGTGTACCCATGCCAGCTGTCTCATCCCAAGTCACTTAGTGCTCACATGTTTCCTAATACAAAAAATATGAAGAATGGTAAGAGAAGTAAGCCACGGATACCACTCAGAATCACCAGCTTTTAAGTGGAGCCCACCAATGATACTGAAGAGTGAACAAAAGCGAGAAGTGAGAGAGAAAATGAAGAAGATGGTTATCATGGAAGTCTAGAGAAGAGAGTTTCAGGAAGGAGGGAAGGATCAAGACTGTAATGTCTCAAAAAGCCAGAATGACAAGGACTGTTCTACACCTGTATCTTCCCTCGAAGGGAGGAACTGTTTCCTAAAATATCTCTAGCACCAAGGGTGTGTTTGACACTGAAGAGAATGCAGAGAGATGGGGGCTGATTTAGAGAAGAGGAGAAAGCTCTTCTTCTGGAAGAATGGCATTATCAGAAAAGAATGATAGGTTATGTTGTCATAGACCTTGAGTGATGAAAAGACTTGCAAGTAGTTTGAATCGATCTTCTCATTTTCTGATAGTTTCCAACAACTTATTGAACTGAAAGTGAGATTGGTAGTCTAGTTAAATGGATTTACCGCGGACTCACATAGTACCTAGAGCTGTAAAATTAAACATGGAACAAGAAAATTTTTTTATATAGCCTGCTCTTTTAACAGATGGCAGTGACATGCTGTAAATTAGTATTGCTTTTCTGCTTAATTCTCTTGCTTTTTACCACAATTATTGATGCTTAGGCAGGTTTGCTGATAATCAAGAGAGTTGTTAATAATTATCAGCATAGGTTTGCTATTTCCATCAACCCTAAGAAATAGGTTTTAAGTGTTACTGATTTGCCATCGTACAGCCATACCTCGTTTTATTGCACTTTGCTTTAATGTGCTTCACAGATGTTGTGTTTTTCATAAATTGAAGGCAGGACCCTCCTCCAGCAAAAAGATTACAGCTTGCTTTATTACAATACTCGCTTTGTTGCAGGGGTCTGGAACCAAATCTGCAGTGTCTCCGAGATACACCTGTATTACACACATGAGTGACATCTTTATTTTTTACTACTAATTTAATAAATGCGTAGCATATATATTTCTATATATGCTAGTCAGTGTTCAAAGTTTATTTTGCACCAAAAGGGATTTGATGCTATAAATAAAGGTTGAGGTCGGAGGGAGAGAAAGAGAAAAGAAGTAAGAAAGAAGTTCTTTATTACAGGGAAAAAATTGTCATTTAACTGTCTGTCTTGAACCTCCTCAGTTTTTACAAGTCATTAAACTGTGGGCACGGTCTCCCGCTATGTGCCCATTTATATTTTGAAATAAAAAAAAATCATTGAGTTGCTATTATAATCAATAAGTAATTAGGGTTGGCATTTCTTTTAAATTGTGAAGTTCTTATGTTAAAATTTAAAAAAACCTATTAAAACTATATGAAGCAAATGAGATGGTTCTGAAGAGAAGTCTGTAGTGGTGATGGCCAAGCTGGGCATTTCCACGTCAGTTCAATTTCTTGTATTTTAGTTCTAGCTTTCAGTGTCCTCCTACAATGGATATAACTTCACAGATCCTTAAAAAGACAGTTCTGCAAAAATTATTTTCTAAGGGAAATAAATTGTTGCAAGAATGAGTTTTTATCATGGTAGGGCTGGTGTGTTGGCCTTTTTTTGAGAATGAAAGTTCTGGGAATAATAGGGGATTTATTTTGATTTCTGTGAGATTGTGAAAAATGTTGAAAGCATCTGGTTTTTATAAGAATCTACTTAGAATTCTTTTTTTTTAGAATTACTCTTTATGCTAGTTATTAGTGTATTCTTTCTTTGAAAGATATTTCATTGAAGTAAACAGTCTCCCCCTCCCCCTCTTAATTACAAAATAGCCTTTCTGGTTTTGGTTGTCAAAAGAGTTTTTTCGTTGGAGAGGGACCGGTGCTTACTTTCCACTTTGGTTCATTGACTGATTTCCTTCCATTTTATGAGGGGCCCTTGAACCTTAGCTGTGGCCGCATGTGCTCCCTTTGAACGCGGCAGTTAGCACGTTATTCCACTTGAGGGCTTACTGTTCAATAGGAGCCTATAAAGTTCTCAAACATAAAGGAAATCATACCAATCCGACAGCAGAAGTATCTAGAAAGCTCAAAAGCCAGGTTTAATTAGGTAGCAGTGCAAAACCATTATCCCTGTCACAAAAGGTTGGGGAGGAAGTGCAGGGGTGAGAACAATTGGCATTTATCTGACCGGCTGCCCAGCTCAGCCCAGCCGGTTGGAGCCCAGCTGGAGCTCTGCTGGCCCTGCATTCTGCAGGCAGCATGCAGTTCTTGAAACACCCCTAAATGTTCCAGCCTTTAAATAGCAGCGAGTCTTCCAAAATGATGCTGCGTACTGCAAGGGAAATTAAAGCGGCTGCCTTGGAGGCAGGAAGCCGATGAGCAAGATGCTTAATTATCGTGGAAGTAAGTGCTTGTTACCGCTGCGTGGAGCACAGGGAGCGCGGGTCGTCCTCGGGGTGTCAGCCGTGATTTGTAGACAATGCAGCCCTGTCAGCACAGTGCTGGTTCAGCA